TCTCTCTCTCTCTCTCTCTCTCTCTCTCTCTCTCTCTCTCTCTCTCTCTCACACACACACACACACACACACACACACACACACCTAGTTAGAGAAGGACACAGAGAAGCAGGAAACAGCTGGCCTCCTGTATCCAGGAGCTAGGGAAAGAGCCGAACCAGTTTTCCAGTATGAACAAAATAATATTTGCAGCAGACAGGGCCTGGCTACTTTTCTTCAGGGTAGTGTTTCAAGTGACGGGATCCCTATGCAAGGTCCCTTGATTCTCATCCAGTCCTGTCTTTGCTATCAGTAACAGATACCCAAGTTGGTGTTTATCTGTCCTTACAATGAAACTCACTGGTTAGTAACTTCATCAAATGCATTTTCTGATTCTGATTAAGCCCTCTTTTGCCGCAGAGCTGGCTCACTCAAAGCATATGCTTAAGCTCCATTCAATCTGTTGTGTGGTAAATAGAAGTAAAGAAGGAGTGGTGAAGGCAAGAGAGAGCTGGGGGCGGGACAGTGTCAAAAGATAATGCGTGTGCGAAGACTCCTGAGTGACCACCGAGGCACTGACTGGTTAGAATAACGATTAAGTATTTAATGTTTGGAATCAGTTTGTAATGCTGTAACCTAAAATAGGTCCTTCTAATTTCTCCAGCTGAGCCTTACCTGTGGGATGAACAGGAACCTGCTCGTGCAGTTGGAGTGCTCTATGAAATAATGGGTGTTCTAAATGGTTGTCTACCTACTGGTGTGGTCCTCTACTCAAAGATACCCGATTGTGGTGCACACTTTTAATCCCAGCACTCAGGAGGCAGAGGCAGGCAGATCTCCGTGAGTTCGAGGCCATCCTGGTCTACAAGACCTAGTTCCAGGACAGCTAGGACTGTTACACAGGGAAACCCTGTCTCAAAAAAACAAAAACCAAAACCAAAACAGAAAAGATACCGTTTTGTGTCCTTATTTTGCCTAATTCCTGTCAGTGGATATTCAGCATTTACACTGATTTTTCTGGTCAAAGGAAGTCCTCAAGCAGGCTGACTGCCATCCACATTGACTGGATTCACTCCCGAAAGAAAGATTAGTGCTGAGAGAATCATGTACGTAGTGTCTTTGTTTTTGTTGTATGAGAAGTTGTGTATATTCCTCTTGCTCAATCGAAATGAGAGAAGAGGGGATGCAAGGGGCGGAGTCAGAGAGGGCAGGGCGAAGGTTCAACACTGTCAACCCTGTGCCCAATGTAGCAAAAACCAAACACTGGTGTGTCTAACTGGGAACCTTGATTTTGTCTCATTATAAAATTCGGTGAGGAGGGGGAAATAGTTTAGTGTCTTCAAATAACATGACAAGTAGATGACAAAAAAAAATGACCTCACTGTAAGTCTATTTCTAATTGAAATCTATACATTGAGATGAAGTTGGTGACACTGTTTGTCAAGAGGGAGATAGAGGCAGCCCAGCTTCTTTGGCACCTTGATCTGTACTTAGTATTTAACAAGCAAGAAACCAATTCACCTATAATTGAGAATCCAGGGATAAATGGACAAAGTCTCTTGACTGCCAGTGATAATATGCCAGTGATAACTGGTAGCATACTGACTACCAGTTACTGACCCATTGCTACTGACAACTGGGTGCTTTGCTAACATTCTTAGAAAAGGGAAGTGACTCTTCATCTCAGAGGTACAATTAGCTCTATTCTCCTAATAGAACCCCACCCTCAGCCAGCACTTCCATGCATTAATCATTTTCATAATCACTAACATTGTTTAAGTAAGTAGCATCATTATTCCATAAATTTTATGGAGGAAGAAGGAGAAGGAGGGAGAAGGAGAAGGAGGAGGAGGAGGAGGAGGAGGAGGAGGAGGAGGAGGAAGAGGAGGAGGAGGAGGAGGAGAAGGAGAAGAAGAAGAAGAAGAAGAAGAAGAAGAAGAAGAAGAAGAAGAAGAAGAAGAAGAAGAAGAAGAAGAAGAAGAAGAAGAAGAAGAGGCGGCAACGGCAGCAGAAGCAGCAACCAAGACCCCTGCAGCAATAAAGAGTAGAATCTGGAGGGTAACTACTCTATGGCAATAGTAATAATTATTATTACTGTTAGGTTTCATTGAGCGCTTACTATGGGCACTATGCAAGCATTTTATTTGCATTATTACATTTAATCCTCACACTAAACCCAGGAAGGTAGGCACTTTATTGTTAGCTTCATTTGAAAAGAAACTGAAGGCGTGGAGATGCTAAGTCATTTCTATAAGGTCACACAACCAGTGGGATCTAATTCAGAATTTGAACCCATGCCTATTTGACTAGAGTGATAATTTCTCTAAAAAGGCTATGATTTCTAGCCTTCAAGTATCACACAACAGAGATACACTGCTAGCCTTTTCCACAGAGCCATTACTGATCTGCTTGCCTCTGTTGGAGCTATCCACCCACCTGCCCACCCATTAGCAACCAAGAAAAAAATAAATGATGAAGAGCAGAATATCACCAGTGCCTGGCAATAGGAAATGCATCTGCTGAAGGTGCCAGAGAGATCCATTCAGACTGGCCAGAGAAGCCCGGGACAATAGAAGGAAGAATGATGGAATCCCTATCATATTTTTTTTTTTTTGGCCCCTAACTCTTTCTGTCTTGCCTTTCAACAAGATATAGGCATGCCCTTAAGCGTTTGGAACCAACTAAGGTCCCGATTTCAGTAGCTGGTGGGTGAGGGAAAGGGTAAAAGAACTTCCTGAGCTACTGGGGAAACTAGAAACTAGCGGAGTAACAGAGAGGATGCCAGAGAAAAACTGAGAAGAGCCTTTCAAAGGATGTACCCTAGGAGGATGGCAGACAAAAAGCTGTGGGCAATTATGCTAAGAGGGTGTTTTAGTGGCCCTTTGTATACTAGCTGAGCCTGCTCACAGCCTGTGGGCTGAAGACACTGAAGAGCCAGCAATGGAACAACAGCCGCTGACAAGCACTAAACTGCCAGCTAGTCGCTTCACAAGGAACCTGGCAGGCTGACTGGCAGCCAGGCACCCTCTCCTCTCAGACGCAGCTGTTCAGGACCTGCCATAACAGTAGCGCCAGGCCGCCCTATTAATGAGTGTCCCAGTTCTCCCAATTTGCCAGAGAAGTATCCGATCATGGGAGAGAGGTTCTTGTGTCAGAACTGGGGTTCACTCTATAGTGGTGACTATAGTGTCACAGAGTCCTACTACCTCCTCTCTGAGACTTGGGTACCCGGGATTACAATGTGTGTACCTGAAACCGAACTTTCTCCAGTGTTGCTGAGCAGATGGCCATTTCTGTCCCTCAATCTCTGCCCCCACCCCTGCTTCGGCCCATTTCACTGACCTAGAAGCATTGGAGTGATGAGGATTTCTCCTGACACACACAGACATATCTCTCCTCAAGAAGCCCTTTCATCCTAAGGTCCTGGGTAGTGTCGTCCTCTGTATAGCTCTTTCGGCTCTGATATATTCCCCTCCCTTTCACTTTAAAAAAAAAATATGTGTACATACAAGTTGTGTGTGTGTGTGTTCATGCATGTGTGCATGAGCATGCATGCACACACATTAACATGCAGGTGTGTGTACATGTGGAGGCCAGAGGCTGGCATTGAGTGTCTTTTTCAATTCTTTTCCCCCTTTTGAGAGTTTATTGAGATGGGAGTCTCACCATATAGCTCTGGATGGCCTAGAACTCATTAAGTAGAACAAGTTGGCTTCAAACTGTAGAAGTTCACCTGACTCTGCTTCCTGAGTATGTGCTGGGTATCTATCCACCTTGTGTGTGCCCCAGGGAGTGAGGAGGTCAGTTAAC